CAAGACACTCTTCGTCAATGAGTTTTTCCAGGCACTGCCAAGAGATATTGCTCACGTCCGGAGAGCACCACGAATGCTTCCATAGCACTGATCAATGCTCGTAGAGCTGCGGAAACATCTTTAATAATACTATTCAAGGTGGGACACCCCCCACTTAGACCCATATGAATCGATACGCTTTCTTCAAAGGCAAGGTAGGTATCGCCGGTCCCTCAAACGATATCTCACATGGGTATTCTTCACGCCGCTGAACGGTCAGTCGCGGAATACTGATACGAGCACTGTCGTGTATACTGGAGATGGCTACCAAACCTTTGACGAACGTGTATGTATCTGTCGATTCGTGAAAGGCATAAGCCTTGAGGTTGAGGCCATGGTACGGCTCGTCTGAAAAGCTCAATGTCCATGCATAAGCAGCAAACATGGACTGGAAAAAGGTGCAGGATGACTTTACTGGTCGGAAGACCAATGCCTGCCTACCGCGCCCTCCTGGAGCTGGCTTGCTGGATAGTCAGACTCAGATACTGAGCGGCCGATACTCACCTCCCTCTTCCAATCCGCATGCGTACTAGCAGAACGACACGAATTTTGAATTAGACGGTCCTATTGGGTCTAACATTCCACTCGTAGAGCACTCGCCACTGCCCTCAAAGCATTCACTGAATAGCACCCGGTATTCCTCTCATATCACTGGATAACACTCGGTATTCCTCTCATATCACTGGATAGCACTCGGTAATCCTCTCACATCACTAGATAGCACTCGGTAATCCTCTCATATCACTGCATAGCACTCGGTAATCCTCTCACATCACTGGATAGCACTCGGTAATGCTCTCACTGGATAGCACCCGGTAAGCCTCTCACATCACTGCATAGCACTCGGTGATCCTCTCACATCACTGCATAGCACTCGGGAATGCTTTACAGCATTCAACTGAATTCATTCCACGTACGCAAATCTATCCTAGTATTTACCAGCCAATTGCCAGCATCCACCTCGAACAAATGGGCCATTCCTAATATACTCCGAATATTCACGACCCACATCCTCTTCCTCCTCCTCCTACAGACCTTCAGCAGCCCATGTGAGCTATCAGCGATACCACGATCCTTCGCCTCAAGCAGCTCAACTACACATAGTCTATGTGCGCGCCCTGTGCTATCCCGCACCTTGAACAGAGCCTCCACATGTCCTGGTAAGCGTCCCTGAAACACTCCCCACTGCTCTGAGGAACCTACCGATACCCATGTCCAATCCTTTCTTATTTTCCCCTTCCTAAAAGATGCTGTTCCCGTACACCTGATGTTGTGAACCTCGTATACGTCAGGCCTTTGGAAGATTGGTATCGGAACCTGCAAGCATGTGAAAACCTCCACCCGGCGCTCCAACATGCTCTCAGAGCTTCCGGCAAAGCTCTGAGAGCATCCCGCATCCTCGGCATACTCCTTTATCAGGCGATAAAGCGTGAGATGGCTCATTTGCAGTCCGTCTGCCACGTTGAAAAGTCTTTCCGATTTCGCGGAGGGGTTGCAAAGACGCTTCAGGGGCAGTCCGCTTTCTACTATTGAGCGTTCATTTGGCGTTTTCTTGCGGTCCTCGATCTTGAAAATGTCGAGCAACTCCTTGAGGTTATCCCGATGGCTCCAGAGGATGTCGTCAGTGCTCTCAGAACCTCCGACGATGTCTTTCAGATTCAGAATTCGAATCTCTAACGCCAATCGCCTCCCTCCATAGTCCAGTATCTGCGTCGCAGCATCAACCTTGTTGGACGCTCTGTAAGCTTCTTTTACCTGCCGTACATGGGCAAGCTCGCTGACGTCCGTGGAGTATTGAGGAATGTTACCAAAGCGCTCAACGTGCTCCCGGTAGTGCATTAAGACGTGCAATTTGATGAAGTTGAAGTGCGATCTTTCCCGAATCTCCCGGATCTCCTCCAAGCCTCGCTGGGTGCTCTGGGAGCCACTAATTGCTTTCGTTTGATCTCTCGCATCCTTTAACGTCTTCTTGTACGCCCTGAATTCTAAAAAGATATCCTTGTGTTTATGGAAATCCTCGAGATAGCTCTCCATATAGTCCAGTGTGCTCGTTGTATGACTCCCATATTGCGCCATTAAGTGGAAGTCTATTAGGCTTCGAACGCATTTCAAAGCTTTTGCGAAGTCGCTCCTGACAGCCACTCCCGGGTTTCTCAGAGCAGCCGCGAGTGCTCCTAGAACGACCCGCCCCAGATTCCGCATCTCTTTCCCTTGCCATTGGGTGGTAGAACGATATGCCTTGTTTGGTACTGCTAGTCCAGGGTAAGGCGCAATCGAAGCCCAAGCTTTGTCGAATTCCTCCAATCGATGATGCTTCTTCAAGAAACCCTGAATCCACTCCATCATGTGCTTCAACATCCCCAGGTAAATATTGTGCAGTATGTCCGGTTTATTGAGATCGTACGGATTAACCCTCGGCATACCCCAGAAAGCATTGAAGAGTGTTTTGACGGATCTCCCAACAAGGTATTCTACCGGTTCTAGATTGCCCGGGTTCTCGCCAAATAGCTGTACCCTCTCCCTGTAGCCCTCGTGATTGCGCATAGAGCTTCGACGAGTGCTCCCAAGATTGTGAAACTCCACCTCGCATTTCGGGCAAGCACTAGTGCTAATGTTTTGCAAGTTTGAATGCTCGGGTTGATCGGCGATCCAGCCCGAGAGCACCGGAAAGCATAGTCGTTCGTAGCCGTCGGCGCATTTGATTAGCTCGCCCTCCTGAGAGCACTCGCGAATGCTTTGAAAGATCTCCCCAAGGGCACGATGCAGTGCCATTTGACTCTGACGTCTTAAAACGGAATTAGCGAGTGTTGTATTCTTTCCGAGCTTCGGTGGCACTGGTAGCAGCCCTAGGAGAATGAATGAATGCCCTGTGGGCTTGTTGCGCACCGACGACTTGATGTTTCCGATGGTAAGATAGATTGGCCAGGCTTTCTTGTCCCCGCTGAAATTTGTCAGATGTGTGCCATCCGACGCGCAGATAATTGGTACGACAGTGGACCCCTCCGGTAACGTATTCTGTCGAGAAGACATTAGCGACTGCTCCTGTAGCATCATCGACTGCTCATGGAGCACCTCAAGTTGACAGGGTGAAGTTTACGGACCTGTATCTCCCACCACCAATCTCCTGTATGCATTTCCCCGTACATTCGCTCGCCGAATTCATTATGCTCCACCACGGGCGAATACACCAATAACTCCCGGAAGGCACGTTGCCCTAGAAGATATCGGACGACTACCATTCGATCCCGGTAGTAGTAAGAGATCTTCTCCCCCCCACTATCCACCTCCGAATGATTCCAGCTCGCCTTTCCCAGTATATCGTTCATTTCCTCCAACCTCTTGATAAAACCCCGCCCAGTGCTGTAGGAGCACTCGCCACTACTCGGCGGAGCATGTAGAAAGAAGCTGTCGATGTTCCCCTGTGAGGCTTTGGACAGTGTGAAATAGCGTGCTATTCTGAACTCATATGCTGACCGGAATGGATGCCATGGGTATTGGAGAAGGCTCTGTGAGCACTCGTCGTAGTCCTCCGAGCGGTAAAGTGGCTCCCCAGCACCCTCGTAAACTGTCGTAGATGCCCTACTATGCCCATTTGAATCGCCATCTGCCTCTTCCATCACGAAATATGATTCAGATTCGAGGTCCGAATTGTTACCCGAATCTTGGTCGAAAATGTCCGACTCTGAATCGTAATGCGTGTCTGAATAGTAATCGGGAATGCTCTCTGGGCTCTCGTCAGTGTTGTCGGGGGTCTCTGCAGGTTGATCGTGCTCCAGCAGTGAATATTGATTTCCCAGCCATTCATCTGCTTCCAAAGGATGGATCGTTCGAAGATGTCTGTCAAAATTCGCGGAGGAGCTGTACCTCTTGCTGCAAAAAGGGCAAGACGATTTCATTGGACTCGAGAATTTGCAGTCTGCCAAGGCGGAAGCTCCTTCCTGCAGGCAGTGCAGAGTGCTCTACGAACGATTTGTCATCCAATGAGGCTCTCGCCGCCAAGCCGTTGTGCAGAGTGCTCTACAGAGTGCTCGCTGTAGAGCGCTCGCCAAGTGATTGTGAGCCTTGCGCTCGCACCTCCACCATAGCGAGGCTGATTTTGACCTCATACATCTCCAACGGAATAATGCAAACACAAACACAAGCATACAACGAGAAGAAACAACAATCACCACAATCATGCCGCCAACGATGCTCCGTTCTACCCTCTCAGCATTCGCTCTCTCTCTCTGAGCACTCGCGGATGCTATTCAGATCATGGAGAGACCATTCTCACCGCCAAATTCGATACTAATATCGGATATGCGCTCAGAGGATACACACTCTCCGACTCAGCTTCATAGCGCACAGAGCCCCGACACCAACAAGAACACAAACACCAACCCAACGTAGGAATCCAATCGACACCACTGTTGGTACTACCGTCAGAGCATTCCCGAGTACGCCTAGAGCATTCATCTACGTCATTCAATTGAATCAAACCTCCAGAGTAGAATCTTCGAGTGCGCCTAGAGCATTGATCTACGTCATGTATTGGAGCAAACATTCAGCACGGCTTGGAGCACCATATGCAGCACTGGTGGGAGCGCCCGGGGGTGCTCGTACAGCACCCGAGGATGCTCGTACAGCACCCGATGTTGCTCGTACAGCACCCGAGGATGCTCGTACAGCACCCGAGGATGCTCGTATAGCACACGGGGGTGCTCTCGGAAGCATGATGAGCCCTGGAATAGCTGATTGTATTCGGTATAAGAGCACCCTTCTCCTCCTTCCAGATCGTGAGAGCTTCCTAACCATCTTCCAGCGCTACCTATCACTTCAAGCCCCTCCCTGCTATCTAAGCTTTCAAGATACCTCTTGAAAGCGCATTCAGCTCACGTTTCAAGTTTAGGCTTCAACTTGAAGTTTCAAGTTTCGTTTCAAGTTCAAGCTTTCAAGCTGCACACCTAGCGATCATATATAAGATGGTATATCCTCCTTAATCCTATTGCTTTCAGAACCATACTCATCACATATTCACTATAGCCTTCATCCTCCCCTCAGGGCACTCCAGAGCGCTCACAGAAGAAGCGAGATCGCGATCCAGACACCGACGAATCAGATAGCAAAAAACGACGAAGGAAGGAAAGGAAGGAGAAGAAGAAGGAGAAGAAGAAGGAGAAGAAGGAGAAGAAGAAGGAGCAGAAGAAGGACGAGAAGTCCTCCCCTTCCTCGTCTCGCAAAGAGCAGAAAAGCCTCCAGCCTATCCCAGAAGAGATAGAAGAGACACCCCCGCCGCAGTCGTCGTCTTCCCGGAAGCATCCCCGAGTGGTTTAAAGTTTCCGACAGCACTCGTCACCGACCCCTCAGCACTCGTCACCGCCCACTCGGCACTCGAGACTCTTCCCAAAAGAGTGGGAATCAGTGCAATCTGAAGCCGAGTCCGACAGCGAAGGTTCCGCAGCAGGCACAACAGCAGGCCCAGCAGGCCCAGCAACACACTCCGCAAAGTGCTCAGCAGCACGCACAGCAGCAGGCCCAGCAGGCCCAGCAACACACTCCGCAAAGCGACCAGCAGCAGGGACAGCAGCAGGCCCAGCAGCAGGCCCAAAACCCCAAAGAGGACGAGCACTTCAACGAGTCTCCAGCACTTCCCCAGAATTGGGCAGCTGGCCGCCACAACCGTCGGCCCCTGTCCGTAGAACCGTACTCCCAGTTTGTGCCCCTGCTCCAGAAGCAGTCGCCAGTGCTTCACAGAGCTCTCAATCCCGACGTCGCCATCGGCTACCAATACCTAGTTCCCCTCCACCGGCAGAGCAGAGGCAAAGCCGCAGAGATCGTGCCCCAGAAACTCCCCCTCGTGCCCCAGAAACTCCCCCGCGTGCTCAGGTAGCATACGCCAGTGCTCCAGAAGCATCATCCCCAATCTCTCAAGCCCGATACACCGGCAGAATGACTGAGGCAAACAAAGCAAAGATGGCTTTAGGTTTGATCAACCTCCCTAAATTGTACACTAACATCCGCAACAGCCTCAAAGCGGAGATGCAGAACACCGGTTGGGTCAACAAAACCGTTTCCGGAGCAGTAGCGTTCAATGCTTTATGCCTCCATGTGTTGAACATACGCCCTCTCAGTGGTTTCCTGCCTATGTGGAACGGAGGCGATTCCACAACCCGCAGAGCACTCGCGGACGCTTTGAAGTGGCTCATCGCTGATGTTGGGCAGAAGGAAAAGCTATCGAGGGGGCAGGGAAATCGCGAGTATAAAGAAGTTGCTGACGATAGCGATGATGATGAGGACGGTGGTCTGCCCGCCCAATGCTCTAAGAAGCGTAAGCGGGACCCAGTGTCCGCAGATCTCGATAGACCTTCCATAATGGTTACGGTGGTAGACCCGGATGCTCTAGGAGCATTCTCCAGGGTTGCCCCGCCCCCTATCTATGACTGGAACCATCGAAGAAATCAGAATTCGTTCATTGGAGTTCTGACCAAGATAACGTTTCCAGAGCTCTGCAATTTGATCCTGAAGCACACCCCACCCGGCAGAGCAATCAGGAGTATCTGGGGAGCACTCAATAATGTTCCACCGGCATCCAATCCTGCTGTTCGGCCGATGGAGGTGCAGATCACTGATTCGGAAGAGGTCGAGGGTTGGTTGAAGAGTAGCGTTGGCAGACCTCGGAGGATACTGGCGGTACTCCACAGAGCAGGCGCGGGTGCTAATTTGGGTGGTGCTGAAACACCGCCGCTGACACGAGCATTCCCTCATATCGAGGAAGACGATTACACCACGATCGATATTCCAGCAGAGGACTCTGATTACGAGGAGGGAAATCACCGCATAAATGCTAAAGGACTGAGGGTATATTTGCCCAGAACTGATGCCAGTAATCAAAGGCTAATCCAGACTCTTGTTAGACGTCGCGATAGACAGCAGGATGCTATCGACGACTTAGACCCCAAATACCTGAGGAAGTATCCTCTGGGTGTAGGGGTTGCTGACGCAAACTTTGCACAGGGAGTAATCTGGACGCCTGCCGGGATAGCAGCCAAGAGAGCTGCTGACGCACTCGCGGCTGCTGCTGGAGGCGGTGGTGGTGGTGGTGGTGGTGGTGGCAATCCTCCTCCGGGCGGTGGTGGTGGTGGTGGTGGTGGTGGTGGTAATCCTCCTCCGGGCGGCGGTGGTGGTGGTGGTGGTGGTGGTAATCCTCCTCCGGGCGGACCTCCTCCTCCTCCTCCTCCTCCGGGCGGACCTCCGGGCGGTGGTGGTGGTGGTGGTGGTGGTGGACCTTCTGGAGGCGGTGGTGGTGGTGGTGGTGGAGGTGGTGGGCCAGCTGGAGGCGGTGGAGGCGGTGGTGGTGGTGATGGTGGTGGGCATCATTAGTCTCCTTTGGTATAGTCTCTCACCACTCTTCCTGCGGATTTCTCACTACTAACCTTTGAAAAGCTGTACAGATTGCTCTCTGAGCACTCGCGACTGCTACTGAGATGGAGGAGGTGCGGTACGATTTTATGTTTTGGATTTCCTTTGTCTTGCGAGCATATATGAATTGATGGGTTTTTGAATAGCAGTATGGAGTGCTCTCTGAGCACTCGCGAGTGCTACTGAGATGGAGGTGCTGTACGATTTGATGTTTTGGATTTCCTTTGTCTTGCGAGCATATATCAATGGATGTGTTTTGTCGTATTAGATGAGATTAGATGAGATTAGATGAGATTAGATTAGATTAGATTATTCCATGTCGTAATTGCATTGCTTTTATTTCAGAGTCGAGTCAAACTCCTAGATTGCTCTCAGAGCACTCGGTATTGCTTCAGAAAGTGCAAAGTGCAGTAAAACGAGTGATTACAAATGATGCGGTTGAGCGGATCCCTGCCGTAGGAGGATTAGCCGTGCAAATTCTTCTTGATTAGCGGCGCGAATTTTCTCGCCAAGAATTGATTTCTAATCAAAGATACCACGAGTGCTCCTAGACCACTGAGGATATTCCTGCTAGCCATCAGAATGGCTCCCACCAAGCGCTCCTCCGGTTCAGCACCTCTTGCCCCAAAGCGCCCTCGACTCCCAAGACGACCCGAAGAACATGAAGATTTACTGACTGACGAGTCTGAGATACCTTGCCGACCATTGACTCCACTGCCAGCCCGCACTCGGAGTAGTCAGTCGACAACCGCCCCAATAGCGCATAAAGGGCTTCTGTGTTCTACCGACACATCCACTGGAAGAAGCAGCCCTAGAAGGGTAGAATTCCATCTCCCCGATGGCAATACTGACAGCATTGAAGTGCAGGAGCATCAGGAGGATGTGCCAGAGGTGGAGGAAACCGCCGATACCAGCCACTCGGAGTATGATGACTCCCCAGAGAACGCCCAGGAGAGCTCTGAGGAGAACCTGGACGACCCGGAGGAGTCGGAAGAACCTCAAGCCTCCACTCAGCAGAGATCCCAGAGTACGGGGAAGAGGCCTCGTACAGTGCAGCCGACTACTGCCAGAGCACTGGGCAATGCTCGGAGGAGACCAACCGGAGCGGTAGCGGAGGTTATTGCTTCCTCCGACGTGTCGGTGGATGTGGTACAGGTTCGACTCCATCCCACCCATTAATGTTAAGGACAAAACGCTAACGATTTAGAGGGGAGCACGTCCGGGTGCAAAGGTAGTACGGAGAGCAGCTCCCACTTCGGCACCCAGCCAGAATGCATCCCAGAGAGCACCGCCAATACCCACACAGCCCAGGCCTTCTGAACCTGTTTATTATCATGATTACAGCTCTTCGATGCGCCATATCGATCTTTCCTCATTGCGCTCTCGATACGGGGAGTCCTCACCTACTTACCGCCCCTATCGTTCCTCCCCGCCTTTTGAGGGCGTTGGCGAGAGCTCTATGAGCAGTCCCCGGATTCCCTCAAGCCCTCAGGTATATTTACCAGAAGCGCAACCAAGAGTCTACGATATTGCACAGCTTTCGTCGTCCATTAGGGAAGGAAATGCTCCTATAGCAGAAAGCGAGGTTAGTAGTATTCCCGATAGCACTGACGACCGCTTTGAGAGCACTGTTAACATTCATGCGAGCAACCTATCTCAGAGATCCTTGTTACCTAGCTCGAGGAGTGCAAACGTTCTCTCAATGCAGGCTCAGAGGATTGAGAAGGAGTGCAGCACGCTAATCGGGGACCACACTCTTCTACATGAGCCTTTTCCACCTGCAGCGAGGCTTTCGGTACTGGTAGTGAACATGTGGGCAGCTGCCAGTCGCAGGGTGGGATGTGCGGTAGATCTGGACGAGGTCGTTATCAAACAGGTGAATGCCCTTGAAACGTTGACGAGTGCTCTGGAAGCGTAATTGACAACGATAGGTCAGAAGTCTACACTCCCGAGTCCGTTCGCACTTGATGCACGAGGTTAAAGGGCGCCTGGCGGATTCGACCATCTATGGGCTTGGAAAGCTCTCGAGTCCTGAGGCGAGGGCTGCTCAAGTAGAGTATCTTTTAAAGAATGATCGCTTCTTGAGCGCTGCGCAGCATTACGAGGTATGATCAATCCCTAGAGAGCACCCGGGGGTGCTAAGAGAGCACTCGGGTGTCAATGACCAGAGAGCACTCGGGTGTCAATGCTCGGAGAGCACCCGGACACCCGGAATGCTTGGAGAGCACTCGCGAACGCTGCTAACAGATACTAGACCTACCGTCTACGGTTTCTTGCGCCAGAGATTATCGACATATTGTACTATAAATACTTTGATGGGGTCAGGATGCGAGGGGTAAAAGACCCCGAGTTCCTAGAGCGGATTACCCCTACATATATTTGCCTGATATCCACTGCAATTTGGCATGGCATTCGGGCATGGTCAACGGGAACATATGTGAAGCCTGACCATTTCCAGTCACAGAATGAGAGTGTTGTCAGTAAGCATCCCTGATCCCCTTACAGCTATAGCGAGTGCTTTGAGAGCAGTAACAGATGCTCCCAGAGCTATAGTGGATTCGCGCGCTGACATTGCACACGAGTAGAAACGTTCAACAGGATGAGCAACACATGGAAGGGGAGGAGTAGGCAGAATCGGGAGGCAACGTTGGAGGTGATCAAGGATAACCTCCGGGAGAAGGTATGCTATAGATGGGTGCTACAATGGCGGAGCGCTCTTCTGCATACGGAGGCTAACCTTGATAGATACGAGAGAAGAAGGGTATCACTATTGAGGTGATACCGGAAGATGGATTTAGCGAGGACGACGAAGCGTTAGCGGCGGATCTTGCGGCATTCCGGAATGCTCGGAGAGCACCCCCGAGTGCTCCAGGGGATATCTCCGACAACGGTGGCGGCCAGGAAGAGGTGGTTCAGGCTCAACTTCAGGGCATTGAAGCGGAAGAGGAAGGCGAGGAGGATGAAGATGAGGATCGCGAGGGAGGGGAGGAGGAAAAGGATTTGTAGGGCACCGGCGAGTGCTTTGGAGCGCAATGGCGAGTGCTTTGGAGAGCAGCGGCGAGTGCTTTGGAGAGATACCTATATACCTGTATTATATTCGATTGGCGATTTCAAGACGCTTGTAGTGTTAGTATTTAGTAATAGAATCACGGTTTTGGATGCTCTGCAAAGCAGTGCCTACTAAAGCAAAGAGTAGTATGCCTGGTAAAAACATGGCGCTGAAAGGTAAAATGCGGTGCGTCGGGCGCGGCTGGAGCAGTCGGGAGTGCTCCAGAAGCATTAGTGATATGCCCAGGAGTCGTCAGAGAGGTTCAGGAGCGGACAAAACGCTTCCTGAGGCGTCGCGAGAGCTCCAGGAGCGTCCAGGAGATAGGTAGTAGTCTCAGGCGAGAGAACATTCCGTCGAGAGAGCGTCAGGCGAGAGAGCATTGCGTCGGGGTAAGCGTATCACTGTCGGGGCGCGTTGGGAGGGCTAGTGCGCGCCAGGGCACGCGAGTAGCCTAGTGGGCTCCAGGGCGGAATGCTAAGCGCCAGGGAGCGCCAGGAACCCTCTGCTGCTTCTCTGGAGAGGCAGTTTGTCTACCGAGCGCCCTGGGCGCCTCGAGCGTCCAGAGCGTCTGGCGGAGGTTGCGGGTTTGCTGATGCGGGCCGGTCGCCGAGTGCGCTGGTGTTACGGGCATGCCAAGTATTTATGAGAGAAAGGCTAGTAGATACCCCAATACCCTCTGCACGCTAACGTCAACTCTGGACGACACCCGCGGGGTGTGGTGCTGTTACGGGCATGCCAAGCATTTACGAAAAGGCTAGTAGATACCCCAATACCCTCTGTACGCTAACGTCAACTCTGGACCACACCCGCGGGGTGTGGTGCGACCAATATACGACCAAAACACCGAGTTATAAAAAACACGTTTTCGACCCCAATAATAACCCCCGGAGCGTCAAACCGCCGGAGGGGAGTGCTTTGGTACTGGTGGATATATGAGGGACAGCTGGAAGCAATGGGATCGAAGATCGGATCACTCGGAGCGAATCGGCGCAAGCTACCAGCCGACCGAGTACCTATCGGCGGTACCTATGGGCATGAGAGAACTCTGCTATGTGGGAAAGCGATGTGGGAAGAGGCCTGAGTAGGTAGCTTTGTCGTCCGAGACCTACGACTAGCCCAAGCTGACGATTATCCACCAGACGGCCGATGGAGAGGAAACATCGACAGGGAAACGTGCATTAGAGTGGGTAAATAGGTTGAGGGGTTTTAGCGGGTTTAGGAGTTTGGGTTATGGACTTAGGAGTTAAAAGTTCTTGGTTGTTTTTCAGGGTCTCGGGCAGGCCCCGAGTGTATTCTGTATTATTAGTAGACTGGGTCCTCGAGACATAAGCGAGGGATATAAATACCGTGTCATTCACTGACTAGCCAAACCATTATCGGCGAAATCAGAGTCTTAACAATATAAATCGTTGATACGCGAGTTACAACTTTATTTGACTATACTTTTGGAAATACTTTATTCTATCGTGACTTCGAACTCTACCTGAACTATTACGTTGAAGACGGTCGAATACCATCCGCTAACTCTAGTGAATCTTTGTTGATAACGTAGCTCGCGGGGCCCGTATCGGATCAAGGAGAATCATACTCGACGTTGACTGAAGAGACCTCGGAGACTTCTACCTTTGTAGCTGTTAGCCGAACTCTGAGCTCTGCGTAGTGTACTCTTGTGGTCTGGTACGCATCCCTCACAGTATATTGTTACTCACAAGTTCACTTGGAGTAACGAAGTCACCTCAAAGAAAAAAAAAACTATCATCATTATCCCCTATTACAATGACTACCCGAAGGGATAATTATTTCATAGATAACTCGGCCGTAACTGAGGAGGCCGGGGAAGATTCTATGGTAATATCGAGGGCTGCTAGCCCAGATCCCCTACTTACGGGAGGACCCTCTACACAAACTAGGCAATCGAGCAAACGCTCTGCTCAAGCCCAGTTTACGAGGAATATGCAGGAGTTTTTGGATACCCATGAGGCACAAATGAGGTATCTTGGTACAGCTGGACAGGCCATGTGGCAGCAGCTACAAAACCTCCAGGAACAAGTGAAAGGGGGCGGGCAAGTCCTGGACAAGAAAGTACGGCAAGAAGCCATCGCCCACAAGCAACATCTCGAATCGCTCTTTGAGCTCGTCGAAAATGTTCGGCAAGTACAGGAAGCCGCACGAGCCGCCGACCACGAGGTTCTGGATCGCAACCATCGGATTACCCAGAACCAACTACTGGAGGCGGAACGACAGCTGAGAGTTGCAAGAGAAGAGCGAGAGCAGGAGAAGAGGGAACAGCGGGAACTGTTGGCGCAATTTAAGCAGTCCGATGACATAAGAAACCCACCGAGAGGTAATATTGGGGGAGACCCAGAACCTTCCGACGACGATGACGATGATAATAGCGAATGGTCGCATGGTCGGAAGAATTGGAGAATGAATCGAGGCGGGAACCGGAATTCGGCGCCGTCTGAAGACGAGGATATGGTAGATTCACTCGCCAAAATACCATTCGAGTTCGATAATGCCAGGAAGCATAACCTGCGGCATTGGCTCATGGAATGCGAGATCTACTTCGAGCAGAAGCCCAAGAAGTTCCGAACGGACAGGAACAAGGTACTCTTCGCTGGGACGTATACGTGTGGGTTGGCAAAGGAATGGTTTATGGAATATATCGAGACCAAGATGCTAGGACCGGCAGCCGCGGACTACGCTACTTGGACTCGTTTCCGTCAGGAGATCAGGAAACGCTTCTTAAGCACTCAGGAGGCTATGGAAAACGCGATGAAGATGCAGCAGTTTAAGTACTCTGCTAACATCGGAGACTACCTGACGAGAATGGAGATCATGAACCAGCATGCTCAGATGAAAGGAGCATCCTATCGCGCCGCCCTGCTCCAAGGGCTACCAAACGAAATCCGGGAGCGCCACTCACGCTTCGATCCAACCGATGACGACTCCGAGTACATCCAACAGTTGGAACGAGCCGGCAAGGCTCACGAGGCTTATCAAGAGCAGATGAAGATGTTGGGGAAAGCGGAGTCGAGAGGAAGAGAGTCGAACAATGGTGGAAACTCGCGGCAGAAGGAGAAGGGGTTTAAGATCAAGGGGAGGGCTCAGACTGAGGAGAAAGAAAAGGGGCAAGATAAGAAGAGCACCAGCAAGAACAAGTCGGGGAATAAGCCAATATACCACGACTACGACGAAGCCACCAAAGGAGTTCCACAGCCGGTCCGAGAACAGCGAAAGACCGATGGCGTTTGCGTGCGATGTGGCCGAAAGGGTCATCTTTGGAAATGGTGTCGTTCAGATGTTAATAGCAGTGCATCTATCTCCTCTTTCTCCCGAAAGCGTACCCGCGATGACGATGGTGACCACGATATGGAACCACCGGAACCCCAACCTCAGAAAAAGCGTATGAGGCATCGTGCTAGAAAGCCGGCTGCTACGGCTGCTGCGGAGTACACCACTGGGCAAGCGTTTGTACGAGAACGCGGATCGGAATCGGAAATGGATTTCGATATGGATTTTCAATAGGGGACTCTGATGAGTCAGGTCAGGAGTATCCCCAGATTGCTATGTTATCACTGACGGAAAACAACAAAAAAAATATGAAAAGAAAAAGGCAGGAAGGGAGAGCGTCCCAACCGGAGAAAAAACAGAAAATTTTGGAGGAACCTATTCACGGTCCTCGACCTATCGTTAATCAGTTTCTTTGTTTTGCGGAAAAATGTTTACCTTGTAAGGTGTTGTTGGATACTGGTGCAACTGGTCCTGTTTTGTCTGCTGTTTTTGTTGATAGTTTTGAGGTCCCGAAGGTGAAACGAGACGTCCCGGCCCGGGTATTTGGATTTACGGGAGAAGTTATGAAGGGCACGGGACATGCCTTTACACAACCATTAATTATAATGTCAAGGGGGCATCAAACACAGTTGTCATTCGAAATCGCCCCTCTCCCACTTGGTATCGATGCGATACTACCGAACTGGTGGTTGAAAGAACACAAACCGGTTATAGGGGCAAATGGGGAAGTTTCCTACGATGGTGAGAACTGCAAGAGTCGATGCTTCACTGACAAGGAACCTCAAATAGAAATGGACGAGAGTGTACTGGACGATCCGGAGGCCCAATTCATCGGTAGCATTTGCCTTTTGGAAGATGAATCGGTCAACCTCCGCGAAACTCTTCCCTCTTGGCTCCATGGGTTCCTTAAAGTCTTCCTACCATCGGAAGCAGACAAATTACCACCGCATCGATCTTACGACCATGCGATAGATCTCGAACCAGGGAAGCAGCCACCATGGGGACCCGTTTACTCCCTATCCGAAGTCGAGCTGAAGGTGCTTCGGGAGTACCTGGATAAAATGTTGAGATTGGGAAAGATTAGGCCGAGCATATCCCCGGCAGGAGCCCCAATCCTATTTGTGAAGAAGAAGGACGGTAGCCTCCGACTTTGCGTTGACTACCGTGGACTTAACCGTGTGTCCATCAAGAACAGGTATCCCTTACCGCTTATGGACGAACTGCGAGATCGAGTAGCAGGCGCGGTTATCTTCTCGAAGATTGACCTGAAGGAAGGTTACAACCTCATCAGGATCAAAGACGGCGACGAGTGGAAGACAGCCTTCCGTACGCGGTATGGGCATTTTGAGTACCTCGTCATGCCTTTTGGGCTGGCAAATGCGCCGGCGACCTTCCAGAACATGATGAATGATGCGCTGAGGGAATTCTTGGATCAAGGTGTAGTAGTATACCTTGATGATATCCTGATATATAGCAAATCTCGAGAGGAGCACAGAGACCTGGTCGGCAAAGTACTTAGTAGGTTACAAGAATACAACCTAGTCGCCAACCCGAAGAAATCGTTCTTCGAGCTCACCGAAATCGAGTTCCTTGGATACATCCTTGCCCCAGCAGGCGTCACCATGGCACTGGATAAGGTTATGTCTGTTACGAATTGGCAAGCCCCGCGCAGCGTTAAAGAAGTACAGATCTTCATGGGCTTTGCCAATTTCTACAGAAGGTTTATCCACAATTTCTCCGGGGTCTGTAAACCCATTACCGATTGTCTCAGGGGTGATGCTAAGAACTTTGTCTGGTCTATGACGGCCCAAGCAGCCTTCGAAAAACTCAAAACCCTATTTACGTCTGCGCCGATCTTGGTACATTTCTCTCCAGATCGCCAGACTATCGTGGAAACGGACGCAAGTGATTTTGCTATCGCCGCAATTCTATCCCAGGTTATTGACGGAAAGACTCACCCTGTTGCCTTTTATTCTCGAAAGCTTAACCCAGCGGAACTCAACTACGACGTCTGGGATAAGGAAATGCTAGGAATTGTGTCAGCCTTCAAGCAATGGCGTCACTACCTCGGAGGACCTAGCCGAACGGTCCTCGTCTATACGGATCACAAGAACTTGGAATATTTCTCAACAACCAAGGTTCTTAACCGACGACAGGCAAGGTGGGCTGAGTCTTTGGCGGAATTTGACTTTAAGATTATTTACCGCCCGGGAACCAAAAATGGGAAGGCAGATGCACTATCGCGACGGCCGGAGTACCGTCCTGAAGGGGGAGGTACGCTTGGGAAACAGCCGATAGACAGGTTCTTTAAGCCCGGACAGTTGGCGGAGGAAGAGTTTGTGGTATCAGCGGTGTCGCTTGCCTCCAAGGGGGTGATTGACTGGTCTAAGAACTTTCTGGATCATGTCAGGCAGGCGGCATCGGGAGACCCGATATGGGTAGGATTGAAAGAGAGAGTTGAGCAGGGAGAGAAGCTGGGGGAAATGAAGGATATTGCTGAGAAAGACGGGCTACTCTTCTATAAAAACCGACTCTACATTCCGGCAGACGACCGCATTAAAATCCGAATCGCACAGGCAGAACACGACTCGAAGGTGGCAGGACATTTTGGACAAGATAAAACTTTGGAACTCATCACGCGTAACTTCTATTGGCCAAAAATGAACGAGTGGATTGATGATTACGTTCGGTCATGTGACGAGTGCCAGCGCAACAAACCCAGCCGCCATAAGAAATACGGTGCGCTTCTACCACTGTCCACGCCACATTCTGTCTGGCAATCGATATCAATGGACTTCGTCGTGCAGTTACCGGAATCAAAGGGATATAACCAAATTTGGGTAGTAGTCGATAGGTTCTCGAAGATGTCGCACTTTATTCCCCTAGTAGCAGAAACGACCGCTCAGGATTTAGCGAAGATATTCCTCGGTCAAATCTGGCGACTCCATGGGCTGCCTCTTGATATAGTTTCCGACAGGGACGCCAAGTTTACTTCAAGCTTTTGGGCATCCCTTATGGAATTATTGGACGTGAGGATAAGAATGAGTACGGCTTTCCACCCTCAGACCGATGGGCAAACAGAGCGAGTCAACGAAACCCTCGAGCATTATCTACGAGCATTCTGCAACTACGAGCAAGATGATTGGGCAGAGCTACTCCCATTGGCGGAGTATGCTTACAATAACTCGGTTCCCACCGCCACGGGCCAATCTCCGTTCTATACCAATTACGGTTATAACCCAAGAACCAACTGGCCGACGGAAGCCGAAGTGGTCAACCCAACCAGTGACCTGTATGCCCACTTCATCCGAGGAGTCCACGATTCTGCTCTCGCTCGTTTGACAGACACCAGGGAAAAGATGGGAAAATACTATGATCGGAAAAGGGACGAACCGCCTAACTTCAAGGTGGGAGGTATGGTTATGCTCAACGCGACCAATATTAAGACACGTCGCTCTACCAAGAAACTCGATCATAAGAAACTCGGCCAGTTTAAAATCATCCGACTAGCCGGAAAACGAGCCTGCGAATTGGAACTGCCACCACAAGTTAAAATCTACAACGTCTTCCACATTGAACTCTTGGAACGTTACCGACAGAGCAGTATCCCAGGCCGTGAACAACGTCCCCCAACTCCCGAAGATGTCGATAAGGAAGGAGAGGTCCTGTACGAAGTGGAAAGTATTGTGGGAAGTCGGAAAAGTAGAAGAGGATTAGTGGAATACCTGGTGAAATGGCGGGGCTATTCGATGAGCGACTGTATGTACCAAGTCATGGACGCTATGAATGAGGAGGTACTTGACCTAGTCCGCGACTTTCATCGAAGGAACCCCAAGGCCGTGAAGGACCAACGCCTGAGACTATAGAGGTACCCTACGGGGCTAAGTCCTTCCCCTCCACAGACACCGCGGGTGATATGTGGAGCAGGTTTACTGGAACCATAGTCTGTCAGAAGATGTCCCGAGACGTGACACCCTGGAAGGGGGGTAAGCTGTTACGGGCATGCCAAGCATTTACGAAAAGGCTAGTAGATACCCCAATACCCTCTGTACGCTAACGTCAACTCTGGACCACACCCGCGGGGTGTGGTGCGACCAATATACGACCAAAACACCGAGTTATAAAAAACATGTTTTCGACCCCAATAATAACCCCCGGAGCGTCAAACCGCCGGAGGGGAGTGCTTTGGTACTGGTGGATATGTGAGGGACAGCTGGAAGCAATGGGATCGAAGATCGGATCACTCGGAGCGAATCGGCGCAAGCTACCAGCCGACCGAGTACCTATCGGCGGTACCTATGGGCATGAGAGAACTCTGCTATGTGGGAAAGCGATGTGGGAAGAGGCCTGAGTAGGTAGCCTTGTCGTCCGAGACCTACGAGTAGCCCATGCTGACGATTATCCACCAGACGGCCGATGGAGAGGAAACATCGACAGGGAAACGTGCATTAGAGTGGGTAAATAGGTTGAGGGGTTTTAGCGGGTTTAGGAGTTTGGGTTATGGACTTAGGAGTTAAAAGTTCTTGGTTGTTTTTCAGGGTCTCGGGCAGGCCCCGAGTGTATTCTGTATTATTAGTAGACTGGGTCCTCGAGACATAAGCGAGGGATATAAATACCGTGTCATTCACTGACTAGCCAAACCATTATCGGCGAAATCAGAGTCTTAACAATATAAATCGTTGATACGCGAGTTACAACTTTATTTGACTATACTTTTGGAAATACTTTATTCTATCGTGACTTCGAACTCTACCTGAACTATTACGTCGAAGACGGTCGAATACCATCCGCTAACTCTAGTGAATCTTTGTTGATAACGTAGCTCGCGGGGCCCGTATCGGATCAAGGAGAATCATACTCGACGTTGACTGAAGAGACCTTGGAGACTTCTACCTTTGTAGCTGTTAGCCGAACTCTGAGCTCTGCGTAGTGTACCCTTGTGGTCTGGTACGCATCCCTCACAGGTGCGACCAATATACGACCAAAACACGGAGTCATAAGAAACACGTTTTCGACCCCAATAATAACCCCCGGAGCGTCAAACCGCCGGAGGGGAGTGCTTTGGTACCGGTGGATATATGAGGGACAGCTGGAAGCAATCGGATCGAAGATCGGATCATTCGGAGGGAATCGGCGCAAGCCACCAGCCGACCGAGTACCTATCGGCGGTACCTATGGGCATGAGAGGACTCTGCTATGTGGGAAAGCGATGTGGGAAGAGGCCTGAGTAGGTA